TCAAAAACACATCCGTCTAAAGGAAACTCTCCAAAGCAGACACACCCAAAGATCCGAGCTGTGACGAGCGGGCCATGGGCCAAGCACTGGGCCATTGCAATTTGAAATCTCCGCCTGGCTGAATGTGGAACCTATGGCCGGAGGGCGTTTTTTGTTCGTTGTTTGATTGATTTTCCCGCGTTGGTTCGGCAGAACTGCGAGCGGTGGGTTGTCAACACCTTTGGTTGATTTGGGCCTGCCGTTTAATGGGTCTGAACGAAGGGTGGCAGCTGCCGGCGGGTTGCAATTAAGCAAAGGCCCCTTGTGGGGCTCCCAGTTTTGTACTTGGGACTGAAGCAAGGGGGGACAAAGCGCCCAAAGGATGCCCCTAAAAGGGTTGGAGAACGATCGAAGCGCAAGTTGATTGCATGCTGAATATTGGAGCAAAGAAGCAGAGGGAAGGTCTTCTTGGGACCAGCCACAGGATTCCCCCCTCACCTTTAACGCCAACGATTGGAAGAATGTGCAGCAAACGTTTGAAGTTGGCATGTGTGAGATGCGTAACCAGCGCGCAACTCCAAACATGTACGTCATGTTTAGTTGCATGAGTCTCTGGTCCAGCTCCAGTCAGGAATCGGGTGCAAGAAACCATGAACTGATCCCAGCTGTGTTGCTTCTTCAGGCAATGAGTCTTCTAGATGGGCATCGGATTGACTGTTGTTCTTGTGGTTCCCTAGGCACTAGACTCATGGAGAGTGCCCGTCAAAGCCTGTCCCATTGGCTCTCGTCACAATGAAGGGTCCGCCGAAGGAACATCTTCTCATGCTGTCTTTCAAAGCAACATCTCCTGTCCGTTGGTGATTTATTGTTCAGCCCTCTTGGTTGCCATGATTGTCTCGCTCTTGGTTCGAAAGGGAGACCCCGTAGGTTCTCCCGAGAACACACAGCCAAGTGTTCGGGATGCGCTCGAAACATTTGTGTCGCACGCGGGCGCGGGACTGAGCGAGGTGCCGCCGCCAAAGTGCGTTTTAGTGAGTTCTTCAGGCTGGAAACCTGCGGTTTCCCACGTGCCGGCCAATCCCTGGCCGGCCAATAGATATTCCCTGGAAGTCTTCCTAGGGCGGAGAGCCGAGTGGGGCGATTTGCCAGCCGACCCAGATTCTTTCCAGGGAAGATGCCCCCTGTGCCACGGGAATGGGCTCAAATAGCTGGATCTGGATCCCGAAAGGATCCAATGTGCAGTTTTCCAAACATTGGAGTTCCCGGAGCCTTGAGGGAGAGAGAAGAAAGACCGTCCTTTGTCAACAGCTGTCAGTCTTCGTGAGTCGAGCGTCTATCATTCCTCTGGGACCGTGACCAAATCGACTGGACGGAAGGAAGGGACACTGACACGATAGCACAGACGCACACCCACAAAACAAGCGTCACTACAGACCCGTGCCAGTGTTCCCATGCTGGCATCCAAAAGGCCAAGTTTATCGTTTGGGGCAAACGCATATACGTTGCATAGCCTAATAGCTGACTTTGTGGCAAAACTCGCGGTGTTTAACTCATTCAACTGCTTGTCTTTTCGCAGTCAATGCGCGGCAAATACACTCACTGGACTCGGATACTCTTAGGGTCACAGAAGTGACTCGGTCTTTCAAGCCAACTGCTGATTAGAGCAGGCTCGTGCTTGCTGATTGGTCGCCCGCTTTGAGTGTGCAACTTCCAGGCACGGAAGAAGCCTGCTTTGAAGATGAAAAACTGTGGGCAATATGCTCATTTGTTTCAAGGTGCTGGCTCCGAAGCCATGCTTTGGCGCAGCTATGCTTTGGGAAAGAACCTGCCTGCTTCGACCCCTCGGGTCTGCATGGCACGCCGAACGAAACCCGATCCCCCGGCGTTCCTGGACTCAGAGCTTTGAGCGCCGAGGTCTGCTCAAGGTTGGAAGATATCCAAAGGGTTGTCCAGACGTGGTGTGCTTCCTTCGTGCCCTTCAACCAGACCAACGTTTCCTATGCAAAGGGCCCAAAAGAATGCTGTTGCAGTGGCAGCGGGGTACTGTAAAGCCAAAGTATGTCGTTGTTTTTCCAAGAAAGTGTCGAACAACCGAGTCACCTTCCTCACGCTTTACACCAGACGAAAAATCGAAAGATTCTCCAAGAGGACATGTGCTATTTGGGGCCGCGGCCCCTGGCTTTTGTTCAAGGTTGAAATGCGACCCTCCAACTCTCATTCCCAAATCAATAGCCTACAGGCGAACTGCGTTTTTTGATCCATCGGGCCCAAGGGGTTGGTCGGAAACACCGGGAGAGGTTGTTTGGATTCGGGGCTTTGAACCCCTGGTTCCTGTAGAGGGATTAGAAAGCACCCTGGAACAACTCACCAATCCAGACCCTTTTTTTGGGGGAAGGCTGCGGGGACTCTATCCCTTTCATTTGTGTTCGGGGTTTTTGGGGGCAAGATGGCCAACTCCGCCCCAACACGGGTTGCAGTTGTTGAAAGCCAACCTTTCAACCTGTTGATTTCCCGTTTTCGGTCCACTTTTAGTCAAGGTCCCAAAAGGTTAACCTTTGATGATGTCTAGGTCCCTAAAGGAGCAAGTGAGGTTGGCCTGGGTTTCGATATTCTCGGATACTCAGTCCCCCCCATTTGGCCCGAGGCTGAGACGCTGTGGAGGCCTGCTACGGCAATTGCCGGAAGCAGATGACTGGAGACCCAGACAATGGCGATGGGTTTGGCTTGGGTTGTTTGATTTGGTCGGTTTGTTTGTTGTGATTTGTTTTTTGTTTGTTTGGTGTTGCTGCTTGTTTTAGACTGTTATTCATTTATTTGTTTGCTACTTTGGTTTTGTGTTTGTTGTCGGTTATTTGTTTTTTTTGTTTGTTTCTTTGTTTATTTTCCTGCTAGCGCGCTTGCTTGCCAGCTTTCTTGCCTGCTTGCCAGCTTTCTTGCGTGCTTGCTGGCTTGCGTGCCTGCTTTCTTGTGTGCTTGCTTGCTTGCGGGCTTGTCTCTTCGTTGATTTGTTTATTTGCTTAGTGGTTTGTTTGCGTGTGTGTGTGTGTGTGTGTTGTCTTTGCTTGTTTGTTTGTGTTTGCTTTGCTTGTTTCTTTGTTCTTTCTTTTTTCTTTTTTCTTTTGTTTGTTTGTTTGTTTGTTTGTTTTTTGTTTGCCTTTTGTTTGCTTGCTTGCTTGTTTGTTTGGCTGTTTGCTTGTTTGCGTGTTTTGATTACTTGTGATGTGCCTGTTTGCTTTGGCTGTGTTGTTTGCGTTTTTGGTTGGTTGGTTGGTTGGTTGGTTGGTTGGTTGGTTGGCTGGCTGGCTGGCTGGCTGGTTTGTTGGTTCGTTTTTGGTAGGTTGATTATGTTATTTTGTTTCTTTGCGTGTTTGCTCGTTTGTCTGTTTGCCTGTCCTGAGGCACAAGACTTGCGGGTTTTTGCCCGGGGGGCTGAGCGGGGGGAGGGCGTCGGCGGTGGCTGGTTGAGATTGGACAGCGGTCCCTCGATTTCCCTTGGACCTCAACAAGTTCAGTGGAAACCAGCTTTGAATTGCACCCTTTGGAGGGCAAATCCTCTGATCTCAAATAAACATGCCCGTTGGCCCTTTGGACATGTTGTTAGTTGCACTGTACGAGCAACAAAGATCCGCTCACGCGGTCTTCAAAATCGAAAGGATCATTTCTCGGTGTCATACTGGCCATTGTGAACGATATTTGCCGAACCAACCACACTCTTCCTATCCCTTCCGCGTGTTCCTGACACTGTTCTTCCCAGCTTCCAACGCCGCCTTGTTTGGCCGGGTAAGGCGCAAGCGGTGTTGCTCATCCAAATGTCCGACAGGCCACTATGGCCCACCTTTTCACGTTCTTTTAGCGGTCTGGTCTTGAAATTGAATAGGAAAACGGGCGCAACCCGCTTCGGTTCGGTCTAACATTGTACCCTTCCCCCTTTCCCTTCTTCCTGGTGGGGTCTAGGGAACGTTGGCATATCATGACCGCATAGAGGTTGCAAGGCCGACTCAGCGCTAGCGACCCCAGGAAAAGGCCGCCCTCCTTCTTGCCTGGACATGAAAAGGGAAAGCCATCCTCTGAACAACAAACCTCTTCTGGGGTCTGGGAAGATTCAAACGGAAGCCATAGTTGTCCTTTGTTTTTGTTTTTCCTCATCATTATCCAGGGTGCAGATGCACCCGAAACTGCCAAGCATGCAAAGAGAGTGCATGAATTGGGTGCTCAAGAAGGGATAGGAACAAAATAGAACCCCAGGTTGAATCCCCGCGGTATCCAAACTGCATTTCAGATGTTTTGTTGGCCCCCTTCAAGGTTGGCTCCACGCATGTATGGTTGTGGCGCTTTGGTGCACGTCCAGTCTTCGCAGAAAACGAGGCTCAAGCAGATCGCTTGCTGACGCGGCTCTCAGTCGCACTCCATATGTGCCATGATCAAAAGACTTCAAGAAGACTCCTTTACTTGGTCTTTGTAGGGGTGTTCATCCACCCTTGAGAGGGATCTAGACAACCATTTGTGAGTTGAAGTTGCAAGGGCTCCCATTCACAGAACCATGAGAGTGACCCTCACAAAGAGTTCTGCCTTGGATCATATGCATTTAAGAACATTCAGCGCCAGAGCATGAGAATCCAGTGAACGGAGAAGCCTTCATTTGTGCGGTTGCTTGAAGCGCTTCACCTAGAAGGATAGACATGATAGACAACGACAGCATGATGCAAGTGACCCAAAAGCAGCATCCAAAGTTTGCACATCCGCTGATCCTGCGCAAGCGACTGACATCAGATCACCAGCACATTTATTCGCCAGCGGCGGATCCTAGGGTTGCTGCGTCTCAAATCATGCTTCAGGTTTTGCCGATGTTGACCTCCCGGTCAGAAATGAACCCGGCATGCTGATGCGAAGGATGCGCCAAGGCCTTGCAGACTGACAATTTTCCCACCCCCCCAATCCCCCCCCCCCCCGTTCCCTCAGCCCCCAACACCCCACCTTCTCAAACTCCCAAGCCTTCTTACCCGCTTTCCCCCAGACCCCAACCTCCCCCCAAAGCCCACCCCCCGAAACCAACCCATTCCTTGGCTCATGGCGGACGCGGAGGAGGGCCGAGAGTTGACGCAGCTGGCGGCGGCGGCGGTGCAAGATGAGTGGTGCCAGCTGCTGATCTTGCGGGAGCAGGCGAGACCTGGCGCTAAGGAAGACTCCCCGCGCAAATTGCTTCATGGAACCCCAAAACGGGCGGCCCCTCAAAAAGTGTTGCATGTAAGAAAAGATGAAGGCTTGGTGGGTGCCATGTGAATCCTCATCAGGGCGGTTCCCCTTGTCGTACAGAAACGGTCTGTCGTTGGACGGTCCTTGGACTAGTAAGGTCCTGACGTTAACATTCAAGTGAACATGATGAGTTTGTTTCCCTTTGAACAACCTAGAGGGTAGTCTCGAGGATGTTACTTTAATGGACCCGCTTGACAGTGTGCAGGTAAATGTTGAAACCTGGCAGATTAATAGGGCCCGCTTGCATGGAATGCCTATCTGTTCGTCAGGGTTTTTCGTACTGGGTTCCAGCTTCTTGTTCCAAGGCGAAATTGTGTCACCACAAAGAAAGGCGCGTGGCTTCGGCCATACAGTACAACACATGGGTCTGTCTTTGTTGCCGGAAGGGGTTCCCTTCTCCCACCAAAAAAGGGGTGCCCTCTAGAAGGACACACCCACATGAGACGAATGGTTTCCTTTGCGCCGATGAGTACCATCTCCTGCAGGTCTCGCGCCGAGAGAGGCAGGCGACTTACTGGCAGCACCTGAAGACCTTGGGGGCCGACACCCAGCGATGCGCGCAGTGCGCCGACCTCGGAGATTGTGCGGCGAGTTGCTCCTCTCCCTCCCACGAACCACCATTCTCCATTTTTTGGAGAACCGGGGTTTCCTTGGTCCATCAGAGGTGATCAAGTCCTGTGGGCAGGGTGTGGTGTCCGTAAGACCAGTTTAAGCACTAGACAATGTCAGTGAGCTTCCTTGAGGCTTGGTGACGCTAGGCTTGGTTGGAATCTGGAAACCCAAACGCTGAATCGTGCCAGTTACTGACAGTTGCGTACACAGAATGCAACATATACGTGAATGCGTATGTATAGACATTCCAATACATTCATAAACAAATACATCACCAAGAAACTTTACAGCCTCCGGCTCAGTCCGCCGACATTGTCCTCTCCCTTTTTTCCTTCTGCCTCTCTCCCTTGTCTCCCTTGTGTGTTCTGTCGTCCTCTCTCCCTCCCTCTGCTCCCCATCCTCCCCATCCCCCCAAGCCTCTCTATGCCCAATCTCCCTCTCTGGTATGTATGTATGCATATATATATATATATATGTTCCAGGCCGTGGACCCCCCCCCCCCCCCCCCCCCCCCCCCCCCCCCCCCCCCTGTGTGGTGGGGTGGTGGGGTGGTGGGGTGGTGGGGTGGTGGGGTGGTGGGGTGGTGGGGTGGTGGGGTGGTGGGGTGGTGGGGTGGTGGGGTGGTGGGGTGGTTGGGGTTCGGAGCTGGTTCAGGCTCGGTGGGTTGGTTTAGGGTTGGTTCAGGGTTGGTTCAGGGTTGGTTTGCGGTGGGTTTCGGGTGGTTTGGTTTAGGGTAGGATGTTGCGAGAGGTGCGGGGGTGTTGGCTAACGGGGTGAAAGGGGGAGTCTGGGACCGAAGCTGCAGGGCTCACACGGTACTGGACAGCATCCCCAGCATTGCCAGCATCATCCCCAAGATGCGGATGATGCGGGGGAGTGGGGGGACCATACCATTGGGGTGGGGGGGGGGGTACGTGGCCCAGGGACTGGTACATAAATATATATATATATATATATGTGTGTGTGTCTGTCTGTCTGTCTGTCTGTCTGTCTGTCTGTCTGTCTGTCTGTCTGTCTGTCTGTCTGTCTGTCTGTCTGTCTGTCTGTCTGTCTGTCTGTCTGTCTGTCTGTCTGTCTGTCTGTCTGTCTGTCTGTCTGTCTGTCTGTCTGTCTGTCTGTCTGTCTGTCTGTCTGTCTGTCTGTCTGTCTGTCTGTGTCTGTCTGTCTGTCTGTCTGTCTGTCTGTCTGTCTGTCTGTCTGTCTGTCTGTCTGTCTGTCTGTCTGTCTGTCTGTCTGTCTGTCTGTCTGTCTGTCTGTCTGTCTGTCTGTCTGTCTGTCTGTCTGTCTGTCTGTCTGTCTGTCTGTCTGTCTGTCTGTCTGTCTGTCTGTCTGTCTGTCTGTCTGTCTGTCTGTCTGTCTGTCTGTCTGTCTGTCTGTCTGTCTGTCTGTCTGTCTGTCTGTCTGTCTGTCTGTCTGTCTGTCTGTCTGTCTGTCTGTCTGTCTGTCTGTCTGTCTGTCTGTCTCTGTCTGTCTGTCTGTCTGTCTGTCTGTCTGTCTGTCTGTCTGTCTGTCTGTCTGTCTGTCTGTCTGTCTGTCTGTCTGTCTGTCTGTCTGTCTGTCTGTCTGTCTGTCTGTCTGTCTGTCTGTTGTGTGTCTGAAGTATATTGTAGTCTGTCTGTCTCTGTCTGTCTGTCTGTCTGTCTGTCTTTATGTATGTAGTATGTATGTATGTATGTATGTATGTATGTATGTATGTATGTGTGTTTGTGTATGTGTGTATGTGTAATGTATGTATGTATGTATGTAATGTATGTATGTACTAACGTAACGTAACGTATGTAATGTAATCAATGCATGCATGTGCATGTATGTATGTATGTATGTATGTATGTATGTATGTAATGTAGTATGTATGTATGTATGTATGTATGTATGTATGTATGTATGTATGTATGTATGTATGTATGTATGTATGTATGTATGTATGTATGTATGTATGTATGTATGTATGTATGTATGTATGTATGTATGTATGTATGTATGTATGTATGTATGTATGTATGTATGTATGTATGTATGTATGTATGTATGTATGTATGTATGTATGTATGTATGTATGTATGTATGTATGTATGTATGTATGTAATGTATGTATGTATGTATGTATGTATGTATGTATGTATGTATGTATGTATGTATGTATGTATGTATGTATGTATGTATGTATGTATGTATGTATGTATGTATGTAATGTATGTATGTATGTATGTATGTATGTATGTATGTATGTATGTATGTATGTATGTATGTATGTATGTATGTATGTATGTATGTATGTATGTATGTATGTATGTATGTATGTATGTATGTATGTATGTATGTATGTATGTATGTATGTATGTATGTATGTATGTATGTATGTATGTATGTATGTATGTATGTATGTATGTATGTATGTATGTATGTATGTAATGTATGTATGTATGTATGTATGTATGTATGTATGTATGTATGTATGTATGTATGTATGTATGTATGTATGTATGTATGTATGTATGTATGTATGTATGTATGTATGTATGTATGTATGTATGTATGTATGTATGTATGTATGTATGTATGTATGTATGTATGTATGTATGTATGTATGTATGTATGTATGTATGTATGTATGTATGTATGTATGTATGTATGTATGTATGTATGTATGTATGTATGTATGTATGTATGTATGTATGTATGTATGTATGTATGTATGTATGTATGTATGTATGTATGTACGTATGTATGTATGTATGTATGTATGTATGTATGTATGTATGTATGTAATGTATGTAAGGAATGTAATGAATGTAATGTATGAAATGAATGCAATGGATGAATGTATGAAAGACGTCCAAAAACATGGAGTTTTCCAGATTTTCGGCAAAAGGATGTAGGAAGCCCAAGCCAGCAAAAAAGCCGGCAGGGGGAATCGAGCCTGGGACCCCTGTTTTGCGACACCGGCTCCCCGAAGACTACGTTTAGTGGAACGTCATCAAATTGCCGTGCGGTACGCGGGGGAGGGAGGGGGGGGGGGGGGGGAGGGGATCCTACACGCCGAGCAATGTCGGCGGATACATGTATAGCACAGATATACATCCATGCCCATGCGTCATTCCCATCTCCGTCTCCTTGGTCCCTTTCCCCGAAGTCGCTTGGTCTTCGAGGCGACTCGGGGCTCATGGGTTTGCAGACGGTGCTGGTGGCACTCCATCAGCTCTGCCAGCTGCTTCTGGAGAGAGACATCGACTCGCGCCACTCCCTGGCTGGCAACATAATCTTCAAGAATGGGATGAATTGTGACAACAATCTCTTGGGTTCCCGAAAGGGGGACAGCGGCGAAAGAAGGAGTTTGGGGTCAGTGACCTTCCTTTTTGAGAGGATGTTGTGGTAAAGCCTTTTGGTGGGTAGTTTTTAGAAGGGGGTGATTTGATATCGCCCGCTCGTTGCGAGAATTGGGGCGCCTGAATTCAAACAGATCACCCAGTGGATTTCTATTGGGGGGGCACCCCGAATGCTGAGAATTGGGACACCCCGAACGCTGACAATTTTGAGGGCTCGTGTTTGTTCCCCAAGGAAGAGAACGTCTCCCAAAGGAGGTCCCCAGTTTTGACTCAGCTGACCGTAGGATTCGTTGCCCAGTTCCAAGACCAGGGGTCTCTTCCGCTTTTGTGATTCTTTGTATGGTTTTGGGAACTTCTTTGGTTGTTTTCGCAGCGAATCACACTCGAAAACAAATGGACAAGAAGGATACTGGACGTCTGGGCCCCCGTTTCTACCATTTGAGAGGGCGAGCTTTTTTTGGCAGTCGCCAACCATTACCCAACTTTAGATGCAACTAAGTCCTTGGCTCCCTACTCTCTCTCTACATCTCCCCTTCAAACACGACCCTAGGAGCCCCAAGAAGTGATGAGCAAAAACACACAAAGGGGACATGTAGCGAACCCTGTGCATGGGCAGAAGCATTGGCGCCAGGTTTGATCATTCGTTCAGGGTCCGGCTGTTCCTTTTGCGGTGACCCACCATCACAAATAGCTTAGACAAATCTCCAAGTCAGGGAGCAAAGAGATGGCACAGTTCCCTCTTTGGGGAAGTAAAGAATGGGGGAACTGTGCAGTCTACTTTCGCCTCCGCAACCCGACACCCGCTTCACATCCTAAAGGACCTCTGGGGTGAACAGCATGAGGGCTTTCCCTCGACGCCCCGAGCCTGCGGCTCGCCTCGTGGATCGCCGGGAGGACGCTGAGGACTTGGACTTTGTCAGCGAGACATTGCTGGCCTTGGCAGAGGCCCGCTCGGCTCGGGCCGCAGGTCTGTGGGTTCAGTTTGGGGGGTCGCTGTCAGGTGGGTTGATCCCCTCACAAAACTGGCAATCCAGACGTGGAACTTGGTGAACTGGAACCAGGAACTTGGTGAACTGGAACCAGTGAAGCCGGCCGAACTTGGCACCAGAAGCCCAAAGCTTTCCACACAGCCCCGGATCCACCCACCAGGTCTCAGCCCCTCTCATCGCCCAGATCCTGGCGGCCGCGGAGCTGCCGAAGGAGGGGAGCGCCACCTTCCCGGTGCTCCAGTTCCAGCCACTTCTCCCATTGAGCGTGCACTTTGTGAGGCTACTCCCCAGGAAGGGGGGGTGGGGTTCAAAGGGAACACGAGTTGGGGAAGAACACGAATTTGGGGGTCCCCTCAAAAGCGGAGAGCGCTTTGGGGGAACTGGTTTCTGATTCTCGACGGGAGGGTCTCCAAGTTTGGCTGGTGGGCTGAAAGCAGAATTCAAGGAGGATCTCCCCAAACCCGTTGGGACGGAAGTGTACCGACTCACGTTCCCGGGTCTTGTGGCCCGTGGCTCTGGAAACATCAACTCAAAGTTTCTGTTGGGGCGTGGTGATTTATTTATCAATTTGGGTATGTCTTTGGAGGAACCGAGCCTAAAAAACAGAAACATCCACATACATGGTATACTAATCACTGATTTGGGGGGATTCTTCTTTTGAGAAGGGCTGCCTTAAAGGGAAACCAGAAGAGGAAACCGCAGAAGAGGAAACCGCACTGTTCGGGGCCCCATCTTAGGACGCTCCCATTTGCACCCAGCTGAAAAGAGTAATTGAAAACGAGAGCTTGCTAGCAAGCCACCAAAAAGGGTGCCAACTCCAAAAAGGACAGACATTGCCATCTGCAAACAAACCAGTTTGGAGGGCCCCGTGGGTGTCCACAGGTGGGGCATATTTGTTGCTCTGGCATGTTGTTGGTTTCCCACATACAAACCTAGCCAATCAAACCAACCCAAAGCATAAAACATGGCAAACAAAGCAAGCCAGCCAAACCAACCAACTAACTAAACCATCCAAACCAACCAAGCCAAGACCAACACCAAAAGCAACAAAACACCAGAAACCAACAAAGCCAAGACACCACAAAAGAAAACAACCGGAAAACAACCATCAACTTGAGGCTCCAGGAGCTCTCAGAGTACTTGGCGGAGGTGGCGCATGCACCGCGACGCCGCAGACCACCCATGTGAGGCTGATCTGGAGACAGATCCTTTTGGTTGGCTGGTGTTTTCAGGGGAGCTCCTATCCACTGACCATTGGTGGGGGAAACTACAAGAAAAACAAAACAAGGTTTGATGGGCCCTTCTGGTTATGGCAATGACACAGAAAACACACAGAATTTCGTATCAGGCAGAGTCCCCCCCAATTTCAGACCACCCATATTGCGATCAACATATTTCAGTTGTTCTTTTCTGGGAGATTTCCCAGAAAAGCCAAAGGGACCCACACAAAACAGGCCCGGCACTGGTTTCGGGGTCCTTTGTCTTGACATGCAGCCAAGTGTCGCGTAGATCGTTTTGCGGTGTCTCTTTGGTCTTCGTTTCAAGATGACAAAAGCTGATTTGCCTATTTTATACTGAGCTGGGCTTAAAACGAGCAAAAGCCATGAAGGTCCTTGACTTTCGGATGTCAGGTTTGGAATTGTCGAATCAGATTTGATGGTTGGAAAACCGTCGGATGGGTGGACATAAATCCAGGGTCCAAGAGTCCCAAATTGAGTTTCAGCATCCCTGCCAGGAGCGGCAACCAATCTCTGACTCCAGACAGGAGCAAGCTGCCAGTGATAGGGACTCAAAAAGGGTCCAACTCAAACTCGTTTTTCACACCAAAACTCCGGGATCTCCAAGAAAACAGCTGTTTTCTTGTTGATGTTCTTTTTGCACAGGGGCCCCACCCTTCATCGCCTTTGCTCGCAAAGGCGAGAGCGGTTGGCGTGCGGTGGCCGCGGAGAAAGGGCGAGGTGGCCGTAATTGGCTTGGGTGTGAATCTTCATGGAGGACCCCTCGGGTGAAATCATCTATATTGGTGGGGATTCATGTCCACCAATCACTTGTGAGGTGGTTCCCTATTGAAATTCAAAGCCAGAGTAGCCCTCTGCAAAGCTACCCATGACTGGCTTTGGGACGGACGGTACCTCAAGCAACTGGAAGCTGCCATTGGAAAAACCAACAAATCAACATGGAACTCCAACAAGGGATCCCCGACAGGCAACCGACTCCTCTACAGACGGATTTTGGGGGCTCCATCTTGGCCACTTTTTCGGTTCCCTCATATTTAGGCGTGAAGAGGAGGGTGCCCCCTTCGTTTGCGTTTGTGTAGTGGGAAACCATGGGGCCTCCTGGACAAGAAGAGACGCCCAATTAGAGGCACAGATGGTGAGGTAACCAGGCCAAATATCGGGTAACAACGAATACAGCACCTTTTTTCAGCGGTACCCCAAATCCGGCGCCGTGACGCTGTCATGTTTTTCGGCGGTGTTGCCACAGAATCTCTTGGAGGCATCCCAGGCTTGGCCTCCGAGGCCGCAGTCTTGCTGCAGCGAGCCGAAGCCGAGGTCCTGGAGGAGGCGAAGGGAGGTTGAGAGGGATTTTCGGTGGGATCTGGTAAGGAAAGCAGGGCTCCCTCCTTAAAAGATCTCCATTTTGCAACCATTTGAAACAGGTTGCTTTTTCAAAAGGCCCAAAATAAAAGGAAACCACCATTTACAAGGCAATGTTCAGGTGTAATTATACTGTAAGGATCCCTGGTAAGGAAAGACAAGTAGAGGCTAATTCTGATTTTAGTTGGAGTCGGTAAGGAGCTCACTTCCTGAGTTCATGGACTTGGTACATGTTTAGGAAGACCGTCTTGGTGGCAAACAAACAAGAAGTTTGGACTTTTCTTGGGCCATCCACCCAGTGAGGGAAGACAAACTGGTTGTGTCTTTGAGTTAATTTGAATATACGTGGTTACACCTGAATTAGATGTTTGCAGGGAATTTGTTAGTGTTTATTTTGATTTTTAGCTGAGAATTAGTTTCCAAGCAGGACCTCAAGTAGAATTCAATTGGAAGACAAATAGGATCTCACAAGGAAAGACAAGCTGGTTGTTTCTTCCAGGTTGCCTGCGTTCAGAAGGAGAAAACCTAAAAGACAAAGAACAACTCGAGACAACACAAAGACAAAAACAACCCGAGAAAAAAACAAACAAAAACATGGAGACAAACAACCGCTTGAAAACTCCAACAAGCCACAACCTCGCCACTACCAAACACACAACAACATATCCATGTTTCCAGAAGTCTTTCGACATGATATGTTTTCCAAAGAGCGTCCAAAGCTTTTCTTTTTGTGTGTGTGTTGTTTGTTTTGTTGGTTTATGCTTATTTTCTCCAATCTGCTTTGGTGTTGCTTGGGCTTGTTAAGATGTTTCCCCCCTGCATTGGTTGGAGTTTGGCAATTGACCAGCCTGACCCATGGGAAGACTGCAAGCCTCAAAACGCGCAAAAAGCGCACGACCAGGCTCTGTTCTGCTTCTTGTTGGTGGCCGATATTGACAGTTTCCCTGGAGCCGGACATGGAAAGGCTGATGAGGTCCCTGGCACATCGCAGGTTCTAGTGGCCTTCCTGGACAGCGTGTCCGGGCGATTGGAGGAAATCACTAAAACTATGATATTTCCCACTACATGGGAGAAGTTACCAGGTCATTTCAAGGCCAAACGGAATATTGATCAACCCCCAAATGACAGCTGGCAAAACTACAAGCACGGGTCCGCGCACCCCGCATTCAGGCGCAAGGCGAGGCGCTCTTGGTAGTGCCCATGATTATAGGAGCAGACCATTGGCAATCATGCAGCCCCCTCTCGTTCAATCATTCAATTTCCTGGTTTCCCCTTGCTTTCCTTTTTCAAGCGTAGCAACCAGGTCAACCTTTTTGCACTTCCCTTGCTATAAAACTCAGGGACACGCCTGCAGTTGCTCATAAGTTGTGGGGAATTCAAGTACCCTGCTTTGGATGCACAAGAAGCACTTTGCACCACTTGGTGCTGCAGGTGTCCCAATTTGCCGCAGGATTTTTGTCCACCCACATGATTCTACCAAGCCACCAGAGCTCACCCAACTAAGGTCGGACATTTGAGGACATCATTGGATCGTTCGCCTCATACCATGCAACCTGGAACCTTCAAAGAAATTACCGTTTGCTTTTTGAAATAACTTTATGTCATGTCCATATCAGGTGGCTTGGCAGGAAGCTCGTGTGATGTCCATGAGTGGCGCAGCTTTTTGTACCAGGGTAGCCTTGTGATCCTATCTTCTGACGCAATGGCGCGGGTCAGCAAGATGCTTGTGGTTGTGGCGGCCGTGGCGGCCTACTGCGGCTGGCCGAGCGCCTTTGTGGCCCCGCCTGCCGGGCGTCATGTGCCCATTGCCGCAGCCGGCGCCGCGGCCATGCTCGGCACAGCACCCGCCTATGCCGACAAGATCGACGATGCGGCCAAGGTTCTCAGCGAGAAGAGCTACCCCTTTCTCAAGGACCGTCGCAGCGGGGTGTGGGCTCGGCTCGGGGATCGGGGTTGGGGCGGGGGGGGGGGGGACCCTACCCTTGGGAACAGGGGGTGGGGGGGTGGGGACTGGAACATATATGTATATATATATATATATACATATTATATGTATGTGCACATGTATGCATGCATACATGCATACATAGATCCAGTATGTTTTTACATCTGTGTGTGTGTGTGCGTGTTTGTGCCGAAGCTGGTAATGGAGACAGTCTCAGAAGAAAAGGCGTGCTTTGCTTGGCTTCATACAGGATGGGGGACGGGGTAACAAATAAGTCTTGGCAATGATGTCAGTCTCCTGAAGCTACCGGTAACTTCTTTCAGGAACCGTGTGGCGGGTTTCAGAACAAGCGTGGCCTTGCATAGTCCTAGCATGTGTCTAATGCAGGTCTATCAAAAAGATGCACGCATCACAAAATATAATATACCTAGGTGAGTTGCGCCGCATTGCCAGCTTGACTTTGATTTCCCAGCCCAGCACATGACTGTTATTTGTCTAGCATGGTTCCAGCATACGCGGCTCATAGCAGCCCCCTGACGTTTTGTGTGTTTTTGATAGCTGCAAACCTCAGGCAGGTTTGAACAAAGTAGAGTATGATCTACCAGGTTTGCCGTGCAAGCTCAGCCACTAGCTCGTAGACCCTCAGCACATGATTTGATCACAAATGTCTGCGCAGAAGTCGACTTTGGTCTCTCACTTTCATGCTTCGTGGTGTGCGTGTGTGTGTGTGTGTGCAGAGTTTGCGCAGGAACTTGTCAGCAGAATGAATGTTCAGGGACATTCGGCACGCCCACTTGAGTGGAATGCCCTCGCACTTTGATCTTTGAGACTGGCCGAGGCATCCAATCCTTCACGGAACACCAACTTCGATCCAGGATCAGCGTTTCTAAAACACTGGACAAAACCCTACGCGGCATTCTTGACGGGAGCCCCAGGCTGTGAACACTCTAAGCCAATGCCAGACTGCCCGGTGCTGCAAGCTTAGCGGTCCGAGTGGGCGTTTGTGATCTTCCTGAGAAGGGCCACCCGGAGGCAACTTTTCTAGGAGTTTGTCAGGCACCAACGCACCATGTCTGCAAGCTTCTCCGGAGGCTAACGAAAACACAGTAAAGATGCTCTCTCCCTCTCTCTCTCTCTCTCTCTCTCTTTCTGTCTCTCTGTCTCCCTCTCTCTCTCTCTCTCTTTCTCTCGCTCTCTCTCTCTCTCTCTCTGCCCCTCCCCCCTCTCGTCCCCCAGGTGGAGTCAGCCTCCAGTTTTCCCCCCGGCCTTGCTCCACGTGCCCGGTCGGCTCCGCCTGCCACAAAAAGGGACACAACTGCCCACAAACCCACAGACTCAGCACATACGCGCTCAAAAGCGCAAGGTGCGACACAAAAAGGCCAACCTTTGGGGCGAACCAGTAAACGAATGTGAAGATATGGCCGAAAATCAAGAGCCATCTGCACACCGTGGTCCAACTACCATTTGCTTGCTGTATTCCATCAGGGTTCCCATATGTCCGCAGTATGTCCATTTTGTGCCATCAACGTTGTGTGGAATTGTAACATCACCGCGTGTGCCCAGCCTGTGTCTCGCGCAAGCGGTTTTGACATGTTGCTTGAGTTCACCGGAAAACTTGTTTTTGCACTGCCCTTGAGATCTGTTTCCAGAGCACTGACACCGTACAAGGAATGCGCACTATTTTTCCGGCTTTCCGTGTTTGGTAATGTACTCATCGGCAAAACGAGAGTCGGATTTTGCGCTAGCAATGCTTCTTAGCATATGGGTTGACTGAAACATCGCGAACCCCTGTGCTCAAAGCATTGCTTGATGAGCCGCGTGTTTATTGTTCTGTTTGTACAGTGAAAATATGTGTTGACGACTTACGACATTGGTTACCTGTGACCGTTGATCAGATGTTCCAAACATTTGTTGGTTTTTGCGGCCGGTCGCATGTTGACGTGTCGAGGAGGCTTGTCCATCTTGATTGCGGCAGGAGATCGACTGGACTGACGGCGTCTACGGAGTGCTGCCCACTGCCAAGCCTTTGGAGGTGTTGAAGGCCATCGACAAGATGTTGGTCATGGGCGCCGCAATGGACCCGGAGGCCTTGAAGGCTGGCGTGTTGGCCCACAGCAAGGCCATCAAGAGCATTGACGGCAAGGGAGTGACCACCCTGGCGGACTACACTGCCACCAACGCCGCCATTGGCCACATGATTGCGTCCGTGCCGGCCTCCAAGACCATGGACGTGTACAACGCCTTCAACAAGTTCAGCCTGGGCAAGGATGTGGGCCCCTACATGATGTCCAAGGTGAGCGCTGAGGATGCCAAGGCGGCCTACAAGGCATTCCTGGAGTTCAAGGATGTGGTGAAGGCGTCTCAGCGCTGAGCTCGGCCTTGCTCTTGGCACCCTGCAGTTTGTATAGTCTCTTGATGCCTCTTATCTGAGTCCGAATGCTTGAGACTCTCAGGCATCCGGCTCAGACAATGTCACAGTTTATCAAGGCACAGTGCCAATTTGTCTTGGAGTCTCGTGCAAAAGAGGCGCAGTTTTGCCGGACATGGGTTCGTGAGCTGGGCCAGGGACAAGAGACACGGCTTCCTATAGGGCGCCTTGGGAAGTTAGAGGGGGAATTTGGAAACTGGGGCATCGGCAGAATCGGCACGTGGCCAAAGACCACCGCAAAGGCCTCCCCCCCCCACGTCTGGAGGCATTGAAGGGTCCCGGCCCCCGCCTACCTCTCGATCTCCAACTCTTCCGCGAGGCGCGGGTTTCTGGTCTGGCATGCCGGCTGCTTGTTGAGGGGGTGAGTCAGCCTACCTCCAAGGTTTTCCAGCTTTGTTTAGGGTATTCGGTTGACCCCTGACTAAAGGAGCCCACCAAAAGCTGGGGTTTTCCCCCTAAGAACCTCGGTACTTGGAGAAGGGGTTCGGAATCCATTTGCCGGGGGTTGATTGGCTTGCACCTAGAGTATGATACTCAGCTGCTCGGTTTCTAGAATGAGAAAGGTACAGTGTCCTCATAAAGGGTTTTGGTTTGCAACCGACTTCTTCGCCCGGGGTTTTGGGCTGGCGAATTGATATACATCCAGATATTTTCCGTGAATGCAAAGAAGACCTGAAAAAGGGAAATCAAGAGCAAAAGGGAATGCAAGTGTGCTGCATGAACATGATCCAAACAACAAGTCGTAGCTTTACCGTAGCGGGCCCGCAACGGGCCTCACATGGGAGCGAGTCGTGTCGGTCTTCACGACTCGTTTCTGCATCGATTCATGGGTGAGGGAGAAGCAAGGTGCGAGTCCACCAATAGCAGGACCTACACAATTACAGTTGGCAAGCGAGAGGGTCCAACAAAAAGGCGGGGTCCTTCTTAGCTTATGCAAGCCGCGTAGCTCCTATATGCCTTGAGCCCTTTCTGCGAAGTATTTGACTGCGTGGATATCGCCATTGCTAACTTCCGCATACTTTATGCTTTCCCTTTTTCAGAAAGCAAACAAACACCTAGGACAAGCCGCTGGCTGTTGAACACAACAATGGTTGAAAAGACTAGAGAAGCATCCCCGATCCATGCGCTCCCCAAGGGAGTTCCCCTATCAAGAAGCTAGACCTTGTTTGCAGTGTTCCTTCCATTTGCTTAATAATATTTGTTATTTTCCCCTGTTGGTTTTAAAGGGAATCTATTACTAGGTTACTAGGGGATTATATTATATTTTTTTCTGGGGACTTCAGCACATGGAGGATTCCCGAATAAGGCCTGCTAAAGAGTATCCAACGCGGAAGATACCCATCTCGTGGGAAAGGTCTGGGCCCCGGAAGGTTTTGGTTGGGATCCCCAACAAAAAAATCACCCGGGGTGTTCCAACATCGGTTCCTGTGTATCATATCAACCAACAAACTGAGGATAGAGGCTGTTCTTGTTCCGCCTTGGCCGCTGGGCAAGCCAGATTCATGTCCGCTAGCATCACAGCTTGTGTGGATCAAGATGGGACACAAGCCTGTGTTGTGATACCAAAATGTGGTTCCCATCCCCAATACGTTTCTCGAAAGCAAGCTCCCTTATCACAAAAAGCGGGTCAACGGCTAGCCCCCACTCTCCTTCCCCCGTTGATTGGGGGAAAACCGGTTGTGAAGCAAAACGAGGTGTGAAAACCCATGATTTAAGAAAGAACTTGGCCCAACTCTATGAAGGGGTGAATCCCCGGTCTCCTTCCGCAACTTGGCTCCATGCTTGAAATGATCGGATCAATCCACTTCGTCAAAGTGGTGGATGCTCATGCCTCAATCCTAGCGTGTCAAAGGCCCTGCTTCCAGTCAAGCAATCCCTGCTCCTGCCCCTGCACCCTCTGGTAGCACATTCAAAGCCACCGATCTTGCGGTTCGCGGGACTTCAGATGCGAAGTAAGCAGCGGGCTCTGCAAAGCGCGCGAGGCAGTCAGCACTCAGCTGGGTCGGCCTGACGCGCGGAGCCCTTTCTATGCGTAGTCAAAAAGCGGAGCCAGCACATTTGCAAAGGTGGGGAGAAATTTAGGTGCCCCGGCCCATGGCCGGGCAGCGTTGTCCTCAGGTTTGTATCCGTGTTCGGTTTTGAGCCAAAGCACACGCCGAAGGCAGAGTTGCCCTGTTCAATCGACCCAGTTCAGTGGCATCCTCTCGATCCCTTGCTTTGTTTTTTCTTTTGCTTTTGCTACCATGGTGTATGGTACCACGGTGCAAACAAACCTGGAAATACAGGTTGCACAGCTTTAGGATGCGCGGAATCATCCTCAATCAGGAGACGGGCAGCCTGGGAGAGAGTTTATCTTGAACCCCTAAAATGGTTGGCTTCCCTGGTTTCCATTCATGCCAACCCAGAGGGGGTCCACCATTTTGAGACCCTCCACCGTTTTGAGAGACTCCCAAAGGGCTTGTACTTCAAATCATGTTGCACGTGGGGTCTCCGAACTTCAACAAATTGGTTCCAAGAAATGGCGTTTCCTCGTTCTTTGAAACCTGGCCTGAAAGCGTATGAACAAAAAGAGACCGCCTGTGTGAAGAAACAAATCAGGCCGAGCATGTCCGTGTGACTCCGTACATGCTGTGTCCGCTGGCAACGGCCTGAACTGCAGTTTGGCTCAGATTTGAGCGGGGTCGCCGGAGGTGCCGCATCGATGAGCGAAGCGAATTGCTTGTCAACACGCACCTCTTGGGACCAAGATGGCAAAGCATCATTCTTGGATGTCGCCAGATAGCAGGAAAGAGATGGAAAGAGGAGGGAACCCAAACCAAAGCGACTCCAAGAAACCAACCCTGCGCTGAGCACAACCAACTCCTGAGTGTCGATCTCGCAACTGAACCGCACAACGAGAGCCGGCCCAGTTCTTTCGGGACCCTTCGCGAGGCCTGGGCGATCAAGCAGCCTGAACTCATGATATGCGAGACATATACAAACGTGTATCACGACAAAGATTGCTATGCATATATATATATATATATATATATATGTATATATATATATATGTATATGTTCATACACTGTCCAGCTTGTGTCTTGCACCCCGAGCCCCCCAACCCCCACCCCATCGTCCCCACTTGCATCACCCTGCTTCCCAAGCCCGGCTGCAGCGGCCGGGACCCTCCGCTTGCCGCGGCCGCGCCCAATGACACGATGGCTGGCCCTGGCGGCGCCTTGACAACGAAAATCGGAGCCGCTGACCGTCTGTGAGCTAAGGGAATCTAAGAGACAAAAGAAGTAGCTGATTTTGGTAGCACAAGGGGTTGCCACAAGGGGCACTCCGGGATTCTTTTGGGTACACTCCGTGAGTTGGACTTTGAACCTTTGGAAGAAGCCATTGGTGGTACGCAAGCTTGTTATTTTTTCTTGGCCAATCTACACAAGAAGTGAGGTATCCCCGTCCTCTGAAGCAATGAAAGCATAATTATCCTCACCGTTTCCTTTGGGAACGCTTTTCGCAACTGCGGGTGGGGATACATGGATCAAAGGCTGGCGTGTATTTCGGAAGGATTGGAGATGTAACGATGTACATTTGGGCAAAAGTTTGGTCTAGTCCTCCCCTTTACTTGCCCAAATCAAAGAAGTTGTGCCATCTACTTTGACCACATTGTTCCCGGGCCCCTTTGTGCCGGCGTTTTTGATGTGACGCTGCAGTGGGTGTGGTTGCTGGCTTTATCAGATGAGTTACTTTGTGGTTGCGTGGTGTTATCATGCCTCACTCATCAACGATCTCGGGGGTGATACGAGCCCACCATCAAGGTCCTTTCCTTGAGATTCCTTGTTTCAAGTTTGCGAATTATTGCAACTTGCCCAGACCCATGGTGGTGGTTGAATAGGTACGCGGAAGATGTGGATATTGACAACGACCCCGCAGGAGCAAGTCACAAAGTTCCTTCTGTAGCCGCTGGAGGTATCAAATTTCATGGAGCACGTGCCTGATCAGTGTTATCCCATGTGCAGGAACTCAAAATTGCATAGACCACGCATAATGATTGAAACTACAGCTCCTGCCACTTTCGGAACATGTGTGTGTATATGCTTTTGCTTTTGTATGTGTTGTCCATGTCTGCGTTTTTGCATCTCCGTATCTCTGTGTTTGTGGCATAGTGAGTCTGTTCGTGCTCTGCCAGTGAGCCGTCTCGGAACCGTTATGCAGGCGGGAGCCACCTGCAGCCAGACGTTCATGACACTCTCCAAACACATATATATATATATATATTCTGCCAGATGTCAACGTGGCACGTGTGTGTTGATTTGGAGGACGTTCCTTTGTACAACTGTGTGTGTGTGTGTGTGTGTGTGTGGGTGTGTGGGTGTGTGGGTGTGCGGGTGGGTGCGCGGGTGTGCGGGTGTGCGGGTGTGCGGGTGTGCGGGTGTGCGGGTGTGCGGGTGTGCGGGTGTGCGTGTGCATGTTTGTGTGAGTGCGTCTATGTGTGTATCTGCGTTTGTGCTTTTGCTCTGCATGGCTGTGTGTCTGTTTGTCTGAATCTGCGTGCCCGTTTGGATTGCTGTCGCTGCTGGTATTGTTGCCAACGGTTGCTTTTGCTAACAGCTGTTGCTTTTGCTAGCAGCAGCAGCTGCAGCAGCAGCTGCAGCAGCAGCTGCTACTGCTGCTGCTGCTGCTACTGCTGTTGCTGCTGCCATTTTTTTAAAGGGGCAGCATCATGACGCTGTTGCCACATTGACAGCGAGCGGCCGGGCTGAATTTCCCACAGACGCCGGGCCGCTGCCCTGCTTGCGTTTGGTCGAACCCAGGCGCCGGTGATGGGGGAGGTGCTTACAGCACAGGACTTCATCGTTTATCCAGGCTGTGCGGGTCCGATCGCTGGTTTGCGTTGCTCAAATGGGCCACCCCACCCTCCTTTTGGCTCAATGAAACCCCATCCAAACAAGGGTTCCAATTTGCGAGAGGTACTCATAGAGGGTATGTCCCCCTTGAGGCTTGTGGTGTGATTTGCGCATCACCTGTTGGACCGCTGATCGAGTTTTTCTTAGGGTGATGTAAAGAACCAGTGGCACGGGTGTAGCCGAAAGTTTTTACCAGAGTTTGTTTCGCGGCATCGCCCACATCCGGTGGCAAATCTTAGTCGCCATGACTGGCAACGGCGTTCTAGTAATATACATATGGTGTCGTGCAAATTGAATTATGCCAAGCGTTGGGATTGAGAAACTCACATAAGTCAGGGGTTGAGCCCCAGGGTTTGAATATGGGCAAAGCAGATTTGCAGACTTCACCCTCTGGCGCCCTCAGATCCAATTGGGGCCATGTGTTGACTGCTTCTGGGGGAAGGGATCAGAGTAGAGCTCGGTTTGAACTTCTTGAACCTTGCTGATCCTGAGCGATTCGGGCGTGATGCCGACAACGGACAAATCCGTCAACATCAGACAGGCGAGCGCCCACGCTCAAAGGGGTGCCCCCGGAGTCTCGCAACTTCCCCCCTTTCCTCCCAAAGTGGCAGTTCCGTTGAATCCGGCAACCAAAGGCAAGCCCGCCACGTTTGCAGAAAGTTTCATCCGGCACTTGAAATCAGCTGCGATGGACACTGCACCATGCCGCACCTAAAGAGGCCGCACGTTTCAACTTGGCCTCGCATTTGGGTTCCAGGGGCCCCGCAGCCTGAGAGCTGGACAAATGGATGCCCCCCTCAGGTGGAAGATGAAGATGTCCAAAGAGGCACAAAAACACGTCTGCCATGTCGCGTCTGGGCTTAACGTCGCCAGGCTACACCGGCAACTTGGTGGTCAGTGGAGAGGTGAACATCTCGCTCATAGGGTTTGGTATCCAGGCGTGCGGACAAATGTCTTATCCACGAACATGGAGCCATGGAAGCTGACAGAGGGGTCCTGGAAGACAGTCTTCCTCTAAGGACGACCCGGTAGATTCCGTAGGGTAGCCATGGAGGAGCGCTCTTGGGCTCACGAAAAGTGTCGGAGGGAAAAACGAGAGATTCCGGTGTATGAATCAGAGTAACCCAGAAACCGTGGCTGTTGTAGTTGGCGGGTTCGTTCTTTTCATTTCCTGTGGGCAGCAAAGAGCACAGTCTTTGGCGAACCTACCAAGGGGAGGAAGGTTTGGGAATCAGAGCGTTGGCAGGGACACGTTTGGATCAAGAAACGTCTGCCCGTCCCTGAAATGCAGAGGGACTGGAGGCTTGGCACCGCCGTTTGGATCACTTCTTGTTTCATTTGCTTTACTTATTTGCGTTCATTCATTTCCTTAGTATCTTTGTTTGTTCGTTCAGTGATTCAGTTCAGTTTTTCTCACTGCACCTGTGATGTTTTGTTTCCCCATGTTTTTCGTCCTTCTCTGGACCCGGTCTGAAACATGAGACTTGCACAGCGCTTGTCACGGAAACTCCATGGCTCCGCAGACCGTGGGCTTTGCCCTGACGGGCCTGGACCCTGCGTGCTCAGGCGAGCGGCGGGGTGGAGGGGGAGAGGGGTGGGGGGGGTGGGGGGTCTGCTGTTTGACAGGGATCCTGCAGTACGCTTTGGTCACATTGAAAACCATATTTTAAATTCATGCCCAAGTGGAGTTTTTCAGTTCCAAGTTGCCCAACGGATGTGTTTGGGGAGAAACAGGGATGTCCTTGCTCTCCCTGGGCTTCTGAGAGTTGGCTATAGGATGCGCTCAATCCACCCAGTTTGGTGTCATCATCTTTACCAACAGAAAGGGAAGTTTGCTATGTACTTTGGCCCTCTACATGTTCATGTTGACCCTCAAAATCGGATTGCGATTTTGCCATACCCCAAATCCAAATGGTTTGTTTCTCAGCAGGCTTACGATCAGGGGTCTCTACTTTCACCGCATAGCCAGCTGAAACATGGTTGGAAGCTCAGGAGAGTTTGGGCACAGGCGGCCAAGAGAACCAGTTATCAGGGTGCCAAGACCTTCTTCAAACCAGGGGTTTAAACCACTATTGTTTGAACGGCCTTCTTCGGGTTTGAATGACAAAGGGGACCACGAAATTAGTGGTTAACACAAATCAACCTGACGCAACGTTGTTACGTAAAAGGTTCAAGCAGGTACTGGAGCAATATTTCGTCCAGTATGGACCCAGCCATGGGTATGTGTCCCAATCTTGGGGAGCCCCAAATGGTTTGGGTTTCCTTTAGGTTTCTCGATTTAGTCAACCTGAAAAGGTTACAGCGCCAAAACACAAACCCATATGACCCATGGCCATGTTGGGCCTAGCTTCCCATGACCCCCACCCGCAATAGGCCCCCTCTGAATGTCATTGGCGGTACGGCCCTCCATTCCTTACCGGGTGTGGATGAATTCATCCATAAACCAGGAGTTCTTTCCAGGGAGTCGTATATGAGCATTTGCCCCCCATGTTGGGTTCCCAAAATTGGGGGGTTCGGCCTCACTGTGCTTCACCCCCATGGAACTTGACGGAAGCTGACTGACAAGGGCCGTCTTCCTAAGGGACCTTTGGCTGGCTTCCAGCAGGGGGGGGAGACAGAGGCTTTCCGAAGCCCATTTCAGCATGGACGTGGCAGTGCTTTGGCGCCACAGCAGATGGAAGGTTCTTAAGCGGGAACCCCAACCTGGCAGTATATAAGGGTCTGTATACAAGCAACAAACCTTCGCGGTGAGTTCATTGAGCTCCCGGCTCGCCTTGTGTCCCCGATAGATTTGAGTCTTCCCACGAAGGAAACGTTGGCAATCGCAAGGTGACGACGGTAAAATCAATCACCCCTGGTATTTAGTCTAAATTGAAGATCATCAACAAATCTGCAAAACACTCCTGCAAGTGAAGAATCTCCAAAAAGCCCCCTCCGCAAACACCCCGTTCGGCTAAAGGATTCTCCCAGCCTCCATC